TATAATGTCTCAAATTAATTCATTAATTTTTGTTTTTTTTGTTTTTTTTTTTTTTTTTGCATAAGTGCAATTGCATGGATAAGTTAAAAGTTAATATTTGTAATTTAAATCCAATGTCGCACTAAAAAGACGCCCACAGAGGAGAATTGTTTATAACATGCACGGGTTATTGCTGAAAATTTATATATAAATATGTGTGCTAATTGTTTATTTATAAACATAAAGGATCACAATTATGTGATTTAAATTATCAATTCAGTTCAACTATTAAACAATTTGAAATTTTTGATGTCAAATCAATAAAATTAAATATTTTTACTAACAAAGGGTTGAAATTTATTTTATATGTTATTTCTCTAAAAATATCATCAGCCTTAATGATAGTAAGAAATTTCTGGAAATGCAACAATTTTAATGTGTAGGAAAAAAGTGCTAATTAGTAAATAAGCGATCGTTAAGATCAAAACAAGCAGCTGTTTAAGTGAGTTACAAGTTAAAACAATTTTTTAGTGACATCTTAACTGACAGCTGTGTTAACAGATGAATAAATTGCAAATGATTTTTTAAAAGGTCAGGTCAATATTCAACGTATATCTCTATATTGTAGTCTTAAAGTATACTATAATCGAAAAAAAACGGAATACTAAATGAATAGAAAGTGACTCTCATGATCAGGATAACACCAGATTATTAAAATATTGTGAATAAATAGGATGTTTCGAAACAAAATGAAATTTGAGACTAAATTAAAAAATTCTAAAATCGATTTATTAGAAGATGTGAAGGGTAAAAATGATGTATCTATCATCATTATCATTTCTGGTTCTGTCGAGAGCGCTAAAACTAATCGGAAATCAGCGCCAACAGGAGAAACGTTACCAGAATACAAAGAGGAATAATTCAGATTGGTTACAGTCATTAAATGAGAAGCAATAAATTAAGATACAAGTGAGATGTTAATGATTCTCGATGAGTTATCCAATTGTCCGCATTAAGCTCAACGGAATTTATTATTTTAAACTCTATCCAACTACACAGAAAAGATTTTATGAAAAAAAAAAACCAGGAAAAGGAACTTCCTCTTCAATTATTAGCTTTTACTGAAGATGAAACCAATCGGATCAATTTGGAACAACTTCAGAAATAACCTTAACTCAGGATATAATTTCAAAATCACTACCAAAGTCATTTTCAGTTTTAACACTAGCATTGCTACCACTTTTAAAATGAAAATTACTGTTAAAGACAGCACCATATATGGTAACATCATCATTTTCAGCATCAATTATTCTACCATTACCCAAATTACCACCAATTTTGGTACCACTTACCATTCTTAGAATCAGAGCTACTGTAGAAGACAATATTATTCACAACATCATAACCAAAATGAAGCAAAATGCAACCGAAGACAAAGAACATCCTTTCGTTTTGAGAAAAAATCTTATCCACGAAATTTAGAGATTTTTCACAAAAAAATAATAACCCTTGCAGATGTCATTTTCAAATTAAAATTTACTCAGACGTTGATCAGAAAGATATTTATTAAAAAAAGTTAAATGAGATTGGTTCTTCGGTGAGTAATTCTATTATCGAAATATATTTCGTAAGCAACTATGAAGTGATCAAATTATCTAGCTTTTTTAAAAATAGAATCGGAAACTTATTGAATTTTCAAAAGTAAACAAAAAAATTGGTAACTTTGTCAAAATTACATAAATTAATTGGAAAATGAAATGCTTTTAGATAGTACCATTATGAAATTTAACAAATTACAATAATATCAAATCATTTCTCGCCTTTTTTTTTCGAAAGGATTCAGAACTTCGATTAATGTAGAAAGACTTGAAAACGGTGTGTAATTTTTTATCATTCAGATATCATTTCGTCAAATATTTATTAATGAGTTTGGCCGAAGTACCTTCTTATCATGACTGAGGAATTGCAATACTTAATTAATGCTCAACTCTAGTAATATAAATTTTTAGACGAAATACCTTGCTAGATTTGTAAGGAAAAATTTTCCATTTGACTCACCGATAAGCTCAACTGAGAGACTATTGAAAGATTTAAAACCAATTATTGTCAACTTATAATAAAAAAATTTTTTTTTTGTAATCTAACTATTGCAAATTCAAATTTACACAATTACGGTAATGCATTTTTCATTCATCGTTCATTGGACAGATTTGTACTGACTCGTAATACCGTATTTTACAGAAATTACTTATATCCTCTAAAGTTATATCATTAATCCTTTTCCTTATCATTTCCAAACATTTCCTTATGGTAGTATTTTTAGCACTTTACCAGCCTTAAATTCTTTAAAAATTTTTTATTATTTCATTATATTTGAATAAACTATTTCTAGAAATAGGATAAATGCAAACAGAAGTTATAAATGTTGAAATAGTCAATTCATCTATTAATTACAAACATTATTTAGGAAAAATTTCCTTTCCTAACTTTTTTATGTCTTTTGTTTCCATTTCCATTTCAATGTAATAAAATTGAAATAACACAAATTGTTGCTATGTTATTTTAGAAAGAAAACTTTTTTCTTGCAATAATTTTGAAAAATTTTTGCTTTTTTTTTTCAAGAAATAAAACAATGTGAAAAAATGTTTACAAAAAAACCTTCAAGAAATTATTGTTTGTAAATAATTTTTCAAATTTGTTACAACTTATTCATAATGTGTACCTTTCGTACTAAACAAACAAATTTTTTTTTTTTCAGTCATATAAAATGTTCACTGGTAAACAGCTGTCATTACATTTATCACCACTATAATTTTTTCTAGAAAAACTAAGGTAATAAAAATGAATT